TGTGAGGAGAAATGCCAATGAATTCTTAGCAGACTTACAATGTGATAAGAATTCCAAGGGAAGTTTTGAAGTTTTTTGTAGTTTGAGAAACTAGCTAGATGGTCACAATACTTCTCATCAAATTCTGTGAAGTTTTCGAAGTTTTTCTAAATTTCTGAAACTTTTGTGCTCGCGCAATGTTCATGGAATTAGAACGAAATAATTAATGTTACTCTACGATATTCACTGAAGTTCAAGATTTTTTTTTTGAAGCCCATGAAACTTCTCTTAAATTATCGACACTAATTTAAAACTTTTTCAATAGTCTAGACTGCCCTGAATTTTCAGTATTTTTTTGAGAATTCGCAACTTTACTGAAATTGCCTTGAAGTGCCTTAACTTAAATATGGTTACCTTAAGTTTCCTAAATTTGTTTAATAACCCGGTATCTATTCATAATTCCCTGACGCATCTGACGTCTTCGGATCAATCATATAATTCATGAAATCAGTGTCAACATTTCAAAGGGGCGTAATTGCTTTTGTAAACTGACTTTAGCCGTCAATTTCTCGCGAATGATATCTTACCTCTCCAAAATTACAATGCTAGCTGGTAGAGGAAACATTCATCTACCTAGTGGTGTTATTATTTTTCATGAGTGAGCTTTTATTTGCGAGAAATCTATGGCTAAAGTCATTCTTTACAAATGCAATTACGCTCCTTTGAAATGTTGGCACTGAAATATCTCATCATTCCACGAAACTCCTTCTAAGTCTCTGCAAATTTGCTTAAATTAATGGGATTATTTTGAAGCTATCTGATCGTCCTTGAAGAACTCGGAACTTCCCTGAGTATCATGAAACTATCTAAATTTGTTAGAAGTTCTCTGGAATTTCTTGAAGATATCACTGCTTGCTAAAAGTTCTCGCATGTTTTTTTAAATAATGGAAATTCGTTGATTTTCTCGAATCAACTTAGCTACATTTTCGCGTTTTTTTAAGTTCTTGAAATCTCCATGATATAACACGCTTAAAATACTCTCGCGTTTTCCGAATGTTCATATAATTTTTATCACGTTCCAGAAATTCTCTCGGAGCTTTGCTGAAGTTTCCAGAAATTCTGTGAGTTTCTCGCAACTTCTTTAATGTTTCTACAATTTCCTTGAAATTATTTGAACTGCCTTTTGATTCTCTAATCTGGCTTGATGTTCTCGAAGCTTCCCTCAAGCTCTCAATTCTGCTGCTGGGATTTCCCGAGAGGATTCGAGAAATTGAATTCCGGTAAATACCTTTAAATCTCCCTGAAATTCCCTGGACTTCTGTGAAGTTCCTGAAATATTTCTAAAGTTTTCATAAACTCTCTGAAGGGCTCCGTACTTCCCTCGGAACATCTTCAGGGTTCTCGATTTTTTCAGCACATCATGGAACTATCCTGAATTTTTCTAAATTTACCGATTATAGATCTTTAAACTGCTCCAAAAGTCTGGACTAAAGCTACGAAAACTGCTCTTAAGATCTGAAATTCCCCAAAAATCTCTAGATTTAGCTTTTTGAGGTACTTAGAACGTCTTAAAAATTTACCCCTCATGTTTTCGATATTTCTCAAGTTCACTTGACACCTGTGAAGTTCTCTGAAATTCTAGGAACTTCATAAAAGTTCTCGAAAATTTTCAAACTGTTAAACTGTGTTAAACTTCAACATTCAATGGATTTCATTGTAAAGTTGTTTCTTTAAAACTGCCATGTCTTAAAAGCGTTTGGGTAAATTGCTGTTGTTTTTCATCTTCCAAAAACAAAAGCATATTTTTTACGCATTTAAAAAATATATTTTTTTATTATAAACCAGGAATATATCCATTAAAATACTGGAAAAACCTGAAAAACTCAGTTATTTTTTTTTAGAAAAATGGGTAGAGAAAGACGATTTAACGCCACAAAGCAAAGAACGATCAATCTTGAAATAAATTCATTTTAGATAGAAGAAAAAGTGACTTTAGTGACTTGCCCTTAAAAAAAGAGACTTTTTAGTGACTGGCTTGAATATCCTTAAATATCACTTTCAGTTTTCCTAAAAATTTCTCCCTTGGAATTATTCTCTGAATTCCAAGTTCCTTGAAAATTCTCATCAAATGAATCAGTTCAAATCCATAAGGTGTGAAATTTCCGCAAATCCCTTATTAATAGAAAAATCTGGGTTCTTTGGAAATATTCAATGCTTGCTTGACGTCTTGAATATTTATTTTCATTCCAAAGTCTTGAAAATGTCTCTAAGCTTTATTTTATTGCATTATGTCCAGGGTTTAAAACAACTTTCTAGTTTCATGTCCTCGAACCCAAAAAAACAATTCAAGTTTGAGAATGTACGTTGCTACTAATAAATAACAAGAGATGAAAAAAAAAATGTTTATACTATTCATTTAATAATAAAATAATAAAATAATAATAAAAACAAATTTGTGTAGTTTTGAGCGTAGAACGAGGGACGATTCTGAATAGGTCTAACTTTGTTCGCCCCTTCAATATTTTGTAATTTGTGAAAGGCGGGTGATATAAAATAAAAATAAAATTTGCATCAGCCTAAGTAAAAGAAAATACAGTTGATTGCATTATAAAATGTTTTTAAATTTCTGAAATGATTTTTTGTCAGGAAGTAGACACGCTGTCAAAGTTTTACTGTGGACGACAAATAATTTCTGAGTGCGTAGGGGCCATGAAGAAAAAGTTACCCTATAACTCCCCCTTTCGTCACGTTTTTCCTAAAAACCTTAAAACTCAATGTGAAGAAGTCTGGGAATGCAACCAAGGATCTTCTACTCAGGGCGTAAAAACGGTCGCTCTAAGGTCACCAAGCCCCTCATATCACCACAAATCACTACAACGGATAAATTTGGCACACGCAAACAAAACACTTCACTCTGGGGGATTTCTGCCAGAAATAAAATTTGATTCCTTAAGGTGATTTCTTGAAGAGTCCACAAATGGCGGCTATAAATGCACTTCCACCTCGAATTTTCAATTACATAAATCTCGGAAATTAGAGTTCCATTTCACTTGAAATTGCTACTACATGTATGCTGCAGCGCAGCAAACGTGGAGTAACAGTTTCATTGTAGTACGTGTCGTAGAAGCTGATATTTGTGCACTTAAAGTTTTGAAGTGGTAGCGAGAATAAGGATTTCACAGCTAACCACCTTAAGGAGGCCAAAAATTACATTAATGGCTGATAAGCTTTATCACATCATGATATCAATAATTGAAGCACAAATCCAGGATACTGTTGTTACATTACTCATAATTGGAACTCCGTTTGCTGCATTACAGGAAATATTGAGTTCCAGTTTCATTATTGTATGTTTTGTGAGAGCTGGCAGTTTATCTCTTAAAATGTCGAGGCAATAATGTGATAAATCAGAAATAAAGTTTCGACAGCGGTTCATCTTTCATACGTCAAACCTTCTAAAAACGGTAAAAAGCATTAAATTAATTAATTTATTTATCTTTATTAGGGAGGCTTTCAGCCTTGGGCTGGTTCGCCTCCAAAAAAAGGATTAAATTAAAAGTAGGAAATAAAAAATAAGTCTCACCTAAGACTTAATACGTTGCTTTTTTTATTTTAAGACTTAAGACTAAGACTAAGACTAAGACTAAGACTAAGACTTAATACGTTGCCTTTTATTTTATTTCGGTAGTTTTGCTAGGCCCTGTATTTTTATTTTTTTCAGAAAAACGTTCAATTGCTCAGCAAAAAATAAATTTTAATATTACATCCAAGAGGATGCACTTTAATCATGTCGAAAATCTCATGTAATTTTTATGGCCACAAAAATAAACAAATGCAGTAAAAGCAGTACTGTCAGTTCATGCACTGTATTAATGATAATTTTGTCCTTTTTGGCATATTTTGGACACGATTGAAGTGCATCCACTTTGATGTTATATCAAAATTAATTTTTTGTTGTGTGTGCGTATTGCACTATTATCAATTATCCCTATTTTGACCTGCACTTTCTCCTTCGCTATTTTAAAAATTACCGTATATCTTAGAATTAACTTTTAAACCGCAACCCACAACCGTCCTAGCGCTTTCCACTCCCACATGATTCAGAAGTTAAAAAACTTTCTAATTCGAATATAATTTCCCACACCTTCTCAAACGTCTCAAACTTGTAAACTCGAAACTATCGTGAAACAACTATAATCACTCTATTCCAGACCGGCAACAGTATCCCACCATTGCTGGCCTCATCCAAACTCCAACGTCATCAATCGATAAAACCGACAATGTCACCCGCATATCCTTCTTTTCGATCCCGCCAGGAGAAAAACGGTACACACTTCAAGTTGTACACGCCCAGAAGCAATACTGGGAGAAAAAGAACTTCTATGCAGGAATCATGAATCCATATGCAAGAGCACACCCCCCCTTCCACCGACCCGGCAGCATGTTGCATTTCACCTTCCCCTCACAACGGAAATCTTTTCCTAGTAGGTACTCGACAAGTTTAGTTCGTACCCAACCGATCCAACAAGTGGATTACTTTCTTCAGTGTTCTTTGCCCCCAGTAGTGGACTGCTGAAGCGACCACGGGGACAGGGGCTGAGGGACACTCGAGTCGAGTTGAGGCGAACAAAACTCTTGCATTTGGTAATTTCCTTCGCTTTTGCTTTTGCAGCAGCATCGTCGTCTTCGTCGTCGTCAGTTGTTAGAACTACAGACAGAGTCAACGCTAATAACAGTGTAGCCACCAGCAGATGCGGATTGGAGAGAAAAGTTCAAAACAGTTACATCACGGTGGGATGCGAAACTTGAAAACGTGGCGAATTTTTTCTTCTTCTAGGGAAACGGTGCAGCCTTATCAAAAGTGCAATGAATTCGGAGGATTTATGCTTTTGCTTTGGCAGTTCTTCTCTTTTTTTTTGCGCCACTCCGACGACGGTACGATGCGAATGTTTTAGATCATTAGGAAGTCATATTTTGCACAACTATGCATAGACCAACATAGGGCTAGCTAGGGTACTTACCACTTTAACCGGAGCGGCAAATATCGGTGCTGCTGGTTCGGCGTCACGTTCGGCCTGTAGCTGCAGTGCTCGTGCCTGCTTGTCGCGTTCTCTGCGCTCCATCCTGCTATCCTGCTCATCGTGCCTGCAAGAGCAATAGAAAAAGGAAACAGAGAAAACTGTGAGAACTGTTGTTCTATGACTGGAGCACGGCGATATAGTTTTGCAGCTTTTTCATTGGTCTCGAGGGGCATGTATGGGCGTGGGAGGGAATCGGGACGGAGGCTGAGGAAATGTTTTCCGAAGAAATGGAAGCTCGAGTCCGAAGGGAGATCATAGGCGGTTGTAGGGAATTTTGGGACCAATTATTTTCATTGGAACATTTTTGCAACAACAACGAAATGGAAGAAGCCAAATTTAGCAAATTTAGCGCAAATATTGGATTTTCGACCTTTGAAAACTTCGCCCTTTGGACTCGGATTATCCGGATATTTTTATATTTCAATTTTTTTAAATTTTTTTCAATTAACAGATCTGCCATTCCATATCAGGTCACATGGGCACCTGAAAACAAACTTTTTGACAAATATTCAGAACAGTAAAAAAGAAAACTGTTAAAGGGAGAATAAATTTGAAATTTCCCCATCCGGATATCCGGATAGTTACTATCCGCCTGATTACCATCTCAACGTTTTCTCAATTTATTTTATTGCAATATTGGGCACTAGAAAGCATGATTTTCTATGTACTGAATATCAATGCAACGATATTCCATTTGTCTGAAAGTAGTTTTATTATAAAAACTGAAGTATCCGGATAGTTGAAGTTGCATGGGCGCTCCTGGAACTCATTATGTCTGCGTATGTATGCGACATGAGAATGTTGAACTGTGCATGTGTGCTAAAAAAACACTTCCTATAATATAATCAAAAACTCCAGTTGGAATGACAAGTCCACAAGTATCTAGAGTATGCCAAATTCCGTCACCCCAGTGTTACTTTCTTGAGTGTAATCAGTGTCAAGATTTAAATAGTTTTATGGATAAGCTACTAGATGAAGACATCAGTTACCCTATTGAAGAAGTGAAATTCAAAAACTGGGTACAAATAGAACATTATTACCAGCTGGTTGATTGCTCGAAGTCTCCAGAAGAATTCGCGAGTCACTTTAGCACTCTTCTCAATGATTTTTCGCTCATTACTCCGTAACATGATCGCAAAAAAAATTCTGCACAGTTTGAAAGAAACTATCAATCCAGGAGAAGTCATTGTGTTAGCTGATTTAGCCGAAAATTATAAAATCACTATTCAAAATGAGGTTCAGTTCCATCATTTTGCCAGGAAAATGGTCACAATTCATCCTTTCGTCTACATTCCAGTGGCGTTTCCTTAACCTCAATCTACCTGTGCACGAACTCTCAAAATATAAATATTTATCCAAATATTGCTTGCAATAGATAGATATCGAGTAAACTAGAAGATTAAGTGTATTTTTCAACCGATTCGAGTATGAATATGGCATTAAATTTGGTTTTGAAAGTTGGTGCACAGGTAAAAAGTGAGGTTACGGGATGCCACTGTTACATTCATGCGAGAGGATTGCAATATGGACGTGGAGTAGCATTTTCATGCGAGCTCGCATGGTAAGTGCTCCTGTGACGGAGTTTCAAACCACATTTTTATTTCCTTCTATTTACATGCAAAGACTGGATTTTTCCATCGTAATTTGAACTGTATCTTATAGGAAAAAGTCTCAGCTTTCTGATGGTGACTTTCTTTGGTGACTTGATAACTTAAAAACGAAAAAAACCTCGCTGATGTTTTATATGCTGTGTAAAAAAGCCTAAATGTTCAAGGAAATATATAAAAATATTTTAAGCCCTCGGTCTACAAACTATGAAACCAATAAAAAACAAATACAATCAATATAAAGAGAGACAGAAGGATTAGTCTTCTTTTCCTTTATTTAACGTCGGTCTCTGTTCCGCAATCTAGTGCCAATCACCGACGGACATCGATTGCCATCCATTGACGGCAACCGAATGTGCAGGAAGGCAGCTTCCACACCTGCGTAGGATATCACATCCATTCAACACACATGGGCCGGGACCAACGGCTTTACTTCCCTTCCGAAGGAAGACGTGACCAGAGATTTTTATGCCTCAGAAAAATCCCACCGACCTCGGCTGAGATTGGACCCAGACCCATTGGGGTGTTAGAAAGCAGTCACGCTTACCACTACACCACCGGCGCCGGCTAGAAGGATTAGTAATTTCCATTTAATTCAACAACCTTATTTACTTATCCTTGACAGATACGCGTATTTCATCCACAATGTGCAGACTTCTTCAGTGTCTTGTACTAGTACTCGACTGAAGAAAATGTCGCATCTTACCGAATACCAATATATTAATCCAAGCACATTTTCACTTAGAAGTTGGTAAACTTAAATTTAATTTCCTGTAGGAGCAGATACTCCGCTGCTTACTCGTTGATGTGTCCTAGGTAGTAACTTGAAAAGCCATGTGTGTCCGTTTCCTTGATCCCTGTTGAGTAAAGTTAAATTCCGTTGTTTGTTGATCTTGAGACTCTCTGCAACATCCAAATTCCATGGTGTAGATACGGTTTGTAAAATCGTGATGTCCTCCGTCGATAATTGGTGGTCCTCTGTGAAGATGTGTTCTACAAACTTTCGATTTGAAATCATATGTTAGGCCTTTTTCCTCTTGCTTTTAAGCCTTATTAATCTCCGCTATATTTTCTTTAAATCTAGTTGCTAAAGTTCTCTTGGTTTGTCCTACGTATACTTTGTAACAATGATTACAGCTTATTTTATATATACCTGCTTTACCTAAAACATTAACTGGGTCTTCAGTGGATCCTAACAATGATTTAAACTGGTTATGTCAACTGGTGAAAACTAAATGTAATCCGAATTGTTTTAAAATGTGGTCTTAGGTTACAAGTAATATCTAGATTAAATGGAACGGACATTTGTTTCAAGGGTTCAGGTGCATCGAGGGTTGTAAATAATTTCCTTTGTAGAATTCTCGCTTTTTTATCGATTATTACGGCCATTTTATGCCGAAACGAATGGTTGGAAGTATAGCGGATAACTGTTTTGGTGCTTGTTGGTTTTCTGTAAACTTCGTATTCAAGCGAAGAAGATGATGACGATTCCCTGATGACTAGAAGATCGTTCTCGAGTTTTCCGTCTTTTTCTGCCTCGTGAGTGAATTTGATATCCTTGTGAATTCTGTTGATCTCATCTAAAATTTGTGGAAGGGCTTCCCGTTTAACTACGCAGAAGATATCGTCAACAAACCTCCACCAACAGTTTGGTAATAATCCTTTCTCCTTCAGGATTGTCTCCCAGTTGGCCATAAAAAGTTCACACAGGAAGGGGGATAGGGGGTTTCCCATTGGAGGCTCCTTTCGTCTGCTTGTAGAAGTTACCTCGGAAAGAGAAGTAGTTCTCTTCCATACAAAGGCGGGTCAGCTTAAGGTACGTCCGAACCTTGTTTCTCCATGCTGCATCCTCTCGTTGTGTTAATAGCCAGTCCTCCAAATGGTTGATCGCTTCCTTGACCGGTACGCTTGGAAAAAGAGCTATGACGTCGAAAAATACCATAATCTCGTCCTCGTTGATGTCTTCTGAAGATTGTAGTTGCTGGGCGAACTCCTGGGTGTTACTAACTGCTTTACTCTGGAACTGATTTGGCATACTCTGGAACTCAGTGACTAGCCACTTCGCTAATTTGTGGGTGAGGGAACCAACTGCAGACACGATCTCTCGCATTTCATTCCCCGGTTTGTGGACTTTGGGGAGACCTTTGATCCTGGGTAGAATGGAATTGGATTCCCGTAAACGACCTGCTCCATCTCCTAATATTGATTTGCACTCATTCAGTACTTTCCCACGCGTTTCACTATGTTCTGTAAAGGGTCTACTCGTTATTAATCTTCGTTGGCATCTGATTGTCGTAATCGTCCTTGTCCATGATAACGACCGCGTCCTTTGTCTGCTTTCACATAGTATACTGCTTTACTTTTCAGCTCCTTTACAATCCGAATTTCCTTTTCGTTTTTGCGACTTTGTTCCTTTCCGTCCTTGATTTTGTTCGATGTGATACTCCTGACCGAATTCTGTGATGATGTGGGAAGTGTCTTGGTAATCGCTGTCTCTACGTCAATGATGATCGGCTCCACGTCTGGCTTGGTTGTAACCGCGTATCCTAGCTTGTTGAGGTGCGTCAATTGTTGTTCCGTGAATGCGTTCGTCGATCGGTTGACAACCAACCCATCAAAGGAGTGAACCCTTAGCGTCGTGGTGATGGTGGATGGGATCTGCTCACCCGTTCGGTGTGCCGTCCGTCTCCGTTGAGACTCATGTCGTAGTCTGTTTAGCTTCCTACCGTGCAGCTTCCGTTTTCAATCCTTTTCGCACTTCTCTGCTACCTTGGCCCTAGACAGAAACTCCTGGAATTTAATTGGATACTCCTTGGCCAATTTGAGATGCAGAGAATAACATTCCACAGTCTTCATGTCCAGTTTGCTATATAGTCGTCTGATACTATCCTTGATGAACTCTGCTTCCATCCTCTTTACTACGCTGGGTGGGGTGGTGGTCCGTACCTTAATCCTATGACGTATAGGTATTACATTATATTTTTGGCATTTCTTCAGAAAGGCTACGTCCTTATGAAGCAATGCGATGGTTTTCTTCAATCTGATGAATTTATTTGGCTCCAACAGCAATCAATGTTTTTCAAAACAAAATCCCGATTTTAAAGTATCATTATATTTTTTTCTAAACAGTATTTATAATTACAGTCACCCCAGTATTATATGCCAGCTAGTCACTATTATGGGTCAGTCAGTTCTGCTTGTTAATCAAATGGAAGTGACCTATGATTGTGGGTGGCCCATAGTACTGGGGTGACTGTACCTTTCATTTCGATCTTTGAAATCGGTCTTTTTTTTGGACCACCCTAACACGAAAATGGTCAACCTTAATAATATTTTGCGATAATATCACCTTGCTATGGAATGGCTGAATAGTGATTCATGGATCTAAAACCATTGTGTTCAGTCGCTGATGTTTTACCCTGGAAAAATTGTGAGGTTTCGATGAAATCAATAGTTT